AAAAACACCCACCCATTACTATCATGAGAATTACAAGGCAAGATGCCTGGGCGCGCCTGTAATCCCAGAACTTTGGGAAGCAGACGCGAGTGGATCACTTGAGGTCAGGAGTTCGAGACCAGCCTGGCCAACATGGTGAAACCCTGTCTCTACTAAAAATACAAAAATTAGGCAGGTATAGTAGCGGGTACCTGTAATCCCAGCTACTCAGGAGGCTGAGGACTGAGAATTCCTTGAACCTGGGAAGCAGAGGTTGCAGCGAGTCGAGACTGCGCCCGCCACTGCACTCCAGCCTGGGTGATACAGCCAGATTCCTTCTCAAAAAAAAAAAAAAAAAAAAAAAAAAAAGAATTACAGGCAAGATAAGTTAGCCCTACACCAAAAGTACCAACTGAATTGTAATACAAATATCTAGTATTACATTTTGAACCCATTCAGATGAGCAATTAGGAATTCTACCCTCCCATACACATACCAAAAAAAGACCTAAACAATCTCATCCTAAATGAATGCAGTGTTCTCTGATTTTCCAATTAATTTACTCAAGGTAAGCAATTTTCCACCAGTCATTTGTTCCGAAGAAATGACTCCCATGATCTGCACAACTTAAAAACAAAAAACTAAGTCAAAGCTCAATTGTTTTTTACAGTCGCATTTAAGTTATAATCAAAGCTCAATTTTATGGTTTCATAAACCCCCTCAGTGTCACATTAGTCCATTGCCTTTCAAAGACAGTATTTAAAATTCTCTTCTCCAAGTCAACATTAAGGCATGCTGTTTGGCTAACAAGCTCCTCCCAAGATCAAGATGATTATGTGTGGCCTATTATGTTCCTAACACACAAACAAAAGTACTCCCTCATGTAACTTTTTTATATTTAGGCAGTAGGCTACTAACAATGGCTTACCTAAAATTTAAATGTTGAAGAGTCATACATTTACTACTAACAGACTACCTAAAATAGTAAAGTTATCAACTATATTTTTTATTTCATAAATAATCTAGTGCTTTTGGAAAAGTCAAATTTAACTTCTAAGAAGTATGAAGTTGTATAAGCAAACAAATGGCATGTTATAAACTAAAAGCAACTCTGAGTAACTGTAATATAATGCTTGATGTTTAGCATTCTTTACTTCGTCACTTTTTGTCAGAAATTACCAGCTTAATCTGCTTCTCACTGTTTTTTTCTGCTAAACCAAATTCCATAAAATGTGCTCAAGGCTTCTGTTGCAGGTACACCTTTTTTTTTTGAGACAGGGTCTCACTCTGTCACCAATGCTGGAGTACAGTGGCACGAACATGGCTCACTGCAGCCTCGACTTCCCTGGGCTCAGGTGATTATTTCACCTCAGCCTCCCAAGTAGCTTGGACTACAGGCATACTATACCATGCCTCCTAATTTTTTTCTTTTTCTTTTTTTTTTTTTTGTATTTTTTTGTAGAGACAAGGTTTTGCTATGTTGCCCAGGCTGGTCTCAAACTCCTGAGCTCAAGCAATTCACCAGCCTCGGCCTTCCAAAGTGCTAGCATTACAGGCATAAGCCACCACAACTGGCTGATGTTTTTACAGCTACTGACAAGACTTTAACAAAACTAAGAAATTCTACTACAATTTATAATCACAGAACACCACATATCAGCCAGGTGTGGTGGCTCACGCCCGTACTCCCAGGACTTTGGGAGGCCGAGGCGGGCGGATCACAAGGTTCAAGACCAGCCTGGCCAATATAGTGAAACCCCGCCTCTACTAAACACAAAAATTGGCCAGGCGTGGTGGCAGGTGCCTGTAGTCCCAGCTACTCAGGAGGCTGAGGCAGGAGAATCACTTGAACCTGGGAGGCAGCGGTTGCCTTGGGCTAAGATTGGACACTGCACTAAAAAAAAACCACATATCTTTAAAAGATAAGACTTAAGTACAGAAACAGTAACAGGTTTATTTTTCCAAGTATCCCAGCATTCAACTGGATCAAATGTTTATGCTGCATTTTAAACAGCTTAGCCCTTGAGTGATAAGGGTAAAAACAAGCCAAAATAATCCTGAATGTTCTTCAGTGGTATATAATCATCACAATCAAAGCAAGATTTAGAAACTGCTAACTGAAGTCTGTTAATTCCATAATAGTCACTTTAGCATAAACATTAATCACAATATTATAGCTATTTTAGGGAAATTACGTTTATGGGGATAAAGACTTTATAACAGATTGGAATCCGAGAAGTCAATCCAGAGACACAGTTTATAAAATACATTTATTAAACCAAAAATACGTCCTACACTTTTTTTGGATGTTTGTTTTCTGTAATTGTCTAATTTCTCTAAGACTGGGGAGAACTTTATATTTAAAATTTAGGCCAGGCACAGTGAATCATGCACTTTGGGAGGCCGAGGTAGGCAGATCACTTGAGGTCAAGAGTTCGACATCAACCTGGCCAAGACGGCAAAACCCCGTCTCTACTAAAAACACAAAAATTAGCAGGTGTGGTGGTGCGCACGTGTAATCCCATTTAGAATCACTTGAACCCAGGAGGTGGAGGTTGCAGGGAGCCCAGATTACACCACTGCACTCCAGCCTGGGCAGCAGAGTGAGACTGTCTCGAAAAAATAAAAAATAATACAATAATAAAATAAAAATTGTTAGTAGAGTGTACTATATTTATAAAGTTAACATTTTTGTGAGCAAGTATAACTTTAAGAGAATTTTTGGCAAGAATTCCCAGGAATATATGAGTTCAATTCATTCACCACTGTGTAAGTGCAAAACATTTAATATAAAACACATTTTAAAAAAGTCCGGCCGGGTGCAGTGGCTCAAGCCTGTAATCCCAGCACTTTGGGAGGTCGAGGCGGGTGGATCACGAGGTCAAGAGATCGAGACCATCCCGGTCAACATGGTGAAACCCCGCCTCTACTAAAACAAAAAATTAGCTGGGCATGGTGGCGCGTGCCTGTAATCCCAGCTACTCAGGAGGCTGAGGCAGGAGAATTGCCTGAACCCAGGAGGCGGAGGTTGCGGTGAGCCGAGATCGCGCCATTGCACTCCAGCTTGGGTAACAAGAGCGAAACTCCGTCTCAAAAAAAAAAAAAAAAAAAAAAAAAAAGTCCTCCTGGCGAGGTACAGTATATCACACCTGTAATTTCAGCACTTTGAGAAGCTGAAGCTGGAGGATCACTTGAGCCCAAGAGTTCAAGACCAGCCTGGCCAACATAGTTGCACCCCGTCTCTATTATTTAAAAAACAAAACAAAACAAAACAAAAAAAACAGTTCTGCCTGGCCAGTGGCTCACCCCTGTAATCCCAGCAAGCAAGCACGTCGTTGAGTGGGAGAGGTGGAGGCAAGAGGAGCACCTGAGTCCAGGAGTTTGAGATCAGCCTAGGCAACACAGCCAGACTCCATCTCTACTAATTTTTTTTTAATTAGCCATACCTGGTGGCACCTGTCTGTGTAGTCCCAGCTACTCAGGAGGCAAAGGCAGGGGAATTGCTTAGCCTAGGAGTTAGAGGCTGCAACTGAGCTATGATCATGCCACTGCACTCCAGCCTGGGCAACAGTGAGATAATGTTCCTTTTTATTACTTAAGTTCGAATTGTTCTGAAACAATTAAAAAAAAATGGAAAAAGTTGTTAACTAAGTTTAACGAACTAAATCTTTTCAATTACTATCAGCTTCGACATCAACAAGGGGAGAAAACTATCAGCAAAAATAAAGATTCAGCATGTATAATAATCCAAATTCAACTAGCTCACGATCTACAACAAAGACAGCCCCTTCACAATTCTAGCAACTTCACGATCTACAACAAAGACAGCCTCTTCACAATTCTAGCAACTATTATTTTACTCTCATCTCTCACCGTTTCCTTCCTGCACCGTAGGCAAATTGCTGCTCCCCAAACTCATCCCAACTCCCACAAGTCTGTAAGCCCTTTGTACCAGCTGTTCCCTGAGCTCCTCCTCACCTGGTGAGCACTTACTCATCGGTCGTTCAAACTCGACGGAGAAGTCTCCTCGAGTGTAGAAGCGTCCCCAACTCCTCCCTAAGCAAAACTAACTGTTCTAAATCCCCACACTTGGTAAGCCAGTTCTTATCACGCTGCATTGTTTTCACGCCTTAGGAGCGCAGGGAGGGCAGAATCTCTCCACTCAGCCCACAGAGGACCAGGCAAGCAGAACGTGCCTTGAATTCATTTCTTACTTAGATTAATTCACCCCCTACAATCCGGTCACAACTCAAGGAGACACAGAAGTTCCTATCCTTATTCCCACCAAAGAATGAATAACAGGCACACCCAGAGCCCTAGAAAGAGAACAATGAATGAACACGGCCGCCTCGCCTCTCTCGACGTCTAAACTCCTCTTTCTCCGGCATCGACTAGCTCTGCAGAGCCTCAGCAGCTGCAAAGCTGAAGCGTCCCGGCGGCTCTTGCTTCACACAAAAGACAGCCCTGGCTCTTCATTCCAAAGCGTCCTGAGGCCAATCCTCTATAAGCATCCCAAGCCTTTCATTAATAACCCACAGAGTCCTGATACCCAAGGCGAGGCCCCTGTGCCTTTGTGGTAGGGCACCGGCCAGTTTCCTCCTCTCTTCCTCGACTCCTCACGTCTTCCTAAAAGGGTGTCACCTGACTGGAGCACCCTGAGAAAGGGTGCAAGCCCGGGTCCCACATTTGGCGGACCAAGAGAAAAGGAATTGGTCCATCCGAGTGACAAGAGATACGGGGCGGCTCTGGGCGATTTTCCCACTGCCAAATATGAGGAATGCGTACTGGCGAAGGGGTGGCGTTGGCACGTTTCCGCAAAACGCAAGGAAATTTGAGTGGGGATGTGGGAACTAAGCTCGCCGGCCATGACACCGAACTCCCGGGCCCCCGCCCAACGCTACCCGGGGTGACAACGGCCTGGCCCGAGCCCTCCGTCCGGCAGCCGCGGGGCTGCTCCATCAGCGCCACCCAGGCCAGTCGCCCGGCTCCCCCGGCATCCAAGACCCGGGCCCGCCACCTACCTGAGGGAGCCAGGCCGTCCCAACGACCTGTCGTCCGGCGGCGGCGTCTCGTCCGCTCCTCCTCCCCGCGGCGGGTGAGGGAGCGGGAGGCGGTCACATTCGGCGCGTCCCCAGCCCAGGGGACGGAGCCCCGAGCAGCCCCCGCATCGTAGCAAACGCGCTCCGCGCCTCAGGGCACACGCCCCAAAGCACGGCCAGCTGACCCTTTCCGGGGCCAAAGGAGAGCAGCAGAAAAGCCTTCCCGCCTCACGACCGCTTTCCTCTTACTCCCGCCATCTAAGATGGCGGCCCCAGCACTCACGATTAAGACTCTCGGGCGGCCCCGGCAAGCGAGCCCTCCACTCGGTGCTCCTCCTCCCGACCTGCGACGCCACCGGCTCTCCGCTTCTGCGCGAGCCCTTCCGGCAGTCAACTTCCAACTTGGCTCGGGCATCCGTCGCTCTGGCCTGAACTCAGGCCCCGCCCTCGGGGCGTGGCCTCGCGATCCGGTGGCCGCCATTTCGAAGCTGATGAGGTTGTTAGGTGATGCTGACTTGCGCTCAGGACGGTCACTGGGTAATCAGGAAGAGCCGGCTTTTGGCCCGCCACGAGTGGCCAGAGGCCTAGCAGGGGAGAGGAAGGCCTGCCTGCCAGCATTGCCAGGCCCAGCGATCACCAGACGTGCCCCGGGACACAGAGCACAGTGTCCAGCTTTGACGCGCCCTCCCTGGCGTCGGACACTTGGATACGGTATCACGGCTCCGCCACTTGGCAGCTATGTTGAACCTTAAGCCGCCGTTACCTTGCCTGTAAATTGGGGGTTCATTTTTCCCTCATCACGTTACCAATAAAAATACTGATAATATCCAGTTTGCTCCGGTATATTGAAACCCGTTGTGTGCCCTCGCAGCGCTACCAGAATAGATGACAGCGCAGATTAGCATTACCTATGGATATATCCTTCCTCTCGGCAGTTTCCCTTCTAGACACTAATTCTAGAGAAATAGGTACACACATGCACGAAGTCATGTCCGAAGATATCTAATGCCCTATTTGCATTCTGGAGAAACACTGGGGGTGAAGTGTAGATTAATAGGAAACTAAGAGGACGCTGCTACATCCAGTCTTGGTTATCATCCGTCCAAGAATGAACTAGATCCAGATACTGACTACACACTCACACACACACACACACACACAGGGGCCGGGTGCGGTGGCTGACGCCTATAATCCCAGCACTTTGGGAGGCCGAGGTGGGCGGATCACCTGAGGTCATGAGTTCGAGAACAGCCTGACCAACATGGAGAAACCCCCGTCTCTACTAAAAATACAAAAGTAGCCGGGCGTGGTGGCTCAAGCCTGTAACCCTAGCACTTTGGGAGGCCGAGGCGGGTGGATCACAAGGTCAAGAGATCGAGACCATTCTGGTCAACATGGTGAAACCCCGTCTCTACTAAAAATACAAAACATTAGCTGGGCATGGTGGCGCGTGCTTGTAATCCCAGCTACTCAGGAGGCTGAGGCAGGAGAATTGCCTGAACCCAGGAGGCAGAGGTTGCGGTGTGCCGAGATCGCGCCATTGCACTCCAGCCTGGGTAACAAGAGTGAAACTCTGTTTAAAAAAAAAAAAAAAAAAAAAGTAGCCGGGCGTGGTGGCGCATGCCTGTAATCCCAGATACTCCGGAGGCTGAGGCAAGAGAATCACTTGGGGCAGAGGTTGCAGTGAGCCGAGATCATGCCATGGCTCTCCAACCTGGGCAACAAGAGCGAAACAACGTGTCAAAAAAAAAAAAAAAAAGAAAGAAAAATGACCAGGCTTGGTGACTCATGCCTGTAATCTCAGCACTTTGGGAGGCCAAGGTGAGAGGATCACAAGGTCAGGAGATCAAGACCATCCTGGCCAACATGGTGAAAACCCCTTCTCTACTAAAGATACAAAAATTGCCCGGCGCGGTGGCTCAAGCCTGTAATCCCAGCACTTTGGGAGGCCGAGGCGGGTGGATCACGAGGTCGAGAGATCGAGACCATCCTGGTCAACATGGTGAAACCCCGTCTCTACTAAAAGTGCAAAAAATTAGCTGGGCATGGTGGCGTGTGCCTGTAATCCCAGCTACTCAGGAGGCTGAGGCAGGAGAATTGCCTGAGCCCAGGAGGCGGAGGTTGCGGTGAGCCGAGATCGCGCCATTGCACTCCAGCCTGGGTAACAAGGGCGAAACTCCGTCTCAAAAAAAAAAAAAAAAAAAAAAAAAGATACAAAAATTAGCTGGGCGTGGTGGCACGTGCCTGTAGTCCCAGCTACTCGGGAGGCTGAGGCAGGTGAATCAGCTGAAGTCAGGAGTTCAAGACTAGCCTGGCCAACATGGTGAAAACCCATCTCCACTAAAAATAGAAAAGTTGGCCGGGCATTGTGATTTCTGTCTGAAATCCCAGCTACTGGGGAGGCTGAGGCAGGAGAATCACTTGAACCCAGGTGGCAGAGGTTACAGTGAGCAGAGGTCACGCCACTGCATGCCAGCCTGGTGACAGAGCCAGACTCCATCTCCAAAAAAAAAAAAAAGACATGGCTGGGCTTGGTGGCTCAAGCCTGGCACTTCAGGCGGATTACTTCAGGTCATGAGTTCAAGACCAGCCTGGCCAACATTGTGAAACACTGTCTCTACTAAAAAATACAAAATAAACAAACAAAAATTAGCCAGGTATGGTGGTGGGCACCTGTAATCCCAGCTACTCGGGAGGCTGAGGCAGGAGAATCGCTTTAACCCAGGAGACAGAGGTTGCAGTGCGTTGAGATAGCACCACTGCACTCCAGCCTGGTTGACAGAGCCAAACTGTCTCAAAAAAGAAAAAAGTCATTAAGTTAAAAAAGCACGGCCGGGCCGGGCGCGGTGGCTCAAGCCTGTAATCCCAGCACTTTGGGAGGCCGAGGCAGGTGGATCACGAGGTCGAGAGATCGAGACCATCCTGGTCAACATGGTGAAACCCCGTCTCTACTAAAAGTGCAAAAAATTAGCTGGGCATGGTGGCACGTGCCTGTAATCCCAGCTACTCAGGAGGCTGAGGTAGGAGAACTTGCCTGAACCCAGGAGGCGGAGGTTGCGGTGAGCCGAGATCGAGCCATTGCACTCCAGCCTGGGTAACAAGAGCGAAACTCCGTCTCAAAAAAAAAAAAAAAAAAAAAAAAAAAAAAAAAAAAAGCACAACTTCCACAACTGGTGGGTGAGGAGATTCTCACCTTCCATAGCCTCCAACCATGTCCCAAAGGCCCCGCTTTCAAGAATCAGACAGCAGGAAGCCATAGATGCTGGCTGGATTCCAGGTTATGGGGAGAAGAAATACAGTCAATAAAAGGTTTCTGTATTAAAAAAAAAAAAAAAAAAAAAAAAAGCAGAACATTATGTATGATCTTATTTATTCAAACAGGTACACAAGATACCTACCTAACGACATGTGCACTATTCCTTTTCAATATTGAGAGCCTATTAGGTACCACACATTGCTTTGGATATTGGAAAATTAACAGTAATCAAAATCCCCATCTTCTAGCAATGGAAAACTAAAAGAAAATATACATAATAAAATTCAATCTGGATCTGGTGGCCAAAGCCTCTAATCCCAGTACTTTGAGAGGCCAAGGCAAGAGGCTTACTTGAGCCCAGGAGTTTAAGACCAGCTTGAGCAACATGAGACCCCCATCTCTACAAAAAAAAAAAAAAAAAAAAAAAAGAAAGAAAGAAAGAAAAAGAAAAGAAAATTAGTGTGCATAGTGGCATGCTCCTGTAATCCAACTAGGGAGGAGGCTGAGGTGGGAGGATCACTTGGAGTTGGGGATAGCATGTGCCATGATTGCCTCACTGCACTTGAACCTGGAAAACAAGCAAGACTCTTGTCTCTTAAAAAAGAGGCGGGGCGCGGTGGCTCATGCCTGTAATCCTAGCACTTTGGGAGGCCAAGGTGGGTGGATCACCTTAGGTCAGGAGTTCAAGACCAGCCTGGCCATCATGGTGAAACCTCATCTTTAAAAAAAAAGGGCCAGGCGCGGTGGCTCAGCCTGTAATCCCAGTACTTTGGGAGGCCGAGGCGGGTGGATCACAAGGTCAAGAGATCGAGACCATCCTGGTCAACATGGTGAAACCCCGTCTCTACTAATGGTGCAAAAAATTAGCTGAGCATGGTGGCGCGTGCCTGTAATCCCAGCTACTCCGGAGGCTGAGGCAGGAGAATTGCCTGAACCCAGGAGGCGGAGGTTGCGGTGAGCTGAGATCACAGCGCCATTGCACTCCAGCCTGGGTAACAAGAGCAAAATTCTGTCTCAAAAAAAAAAAGAAAAGAAAAGAAAAATGAAGCAAAGTGAGAAAATAAAGACAGGAGAATGTAGACCAACATAAAAAATAAATGTAGGAGAAAGACTAGAAGGCGTGGAATGTGGAGATCACGAGGGGGATTTTTAAAATGGGAATAATAACATCTTCCATACAGGATTAAATGAGATAAAACCTGAGAGCACTTAGTGCAGAGCATGGTAGTTGAGACTTGAGTGTCTAGAACCTGACTTGCCTAGATTCAAACTTGGACTCTGCCATTTCCTTATCTGTTACTTGAAGAACTCATTTACACTTCTCAATCCCTCCATTTCCTCATCTATAATGGAAATGTGATGATAACACCTCTTAGAGTTGTAAGGATTTAGTAAGTTTTAGATATAAAGTACTGGAAGAGTGCCTTACTCATATTAAGCATTGTAGAAGTGTTAGCTATAATTATTACAGCTATCTCCCTCTTTTTCTAAACTAACATTGGTTTACAAGGAAACCAAAGAAGTTAACATTATAACTATCTCTAATTATCGTTATCATTATTACTTGAGGCACAGCTTCGAAGCCACACTTGCTGACCTTCTGATTATTCCTTCCTTCAGCATCCCCAGCTGATATTTGCCCAGCAGTTTACATCTTAGAAGTTTAAGGAGCCTATGCCTCTTTCAAACTTTTCAGTTCACCTGGAAGAATGGGTACTTCCTTTTTAAAATAAATTTATTGAGGTGAAATGAACTATTTTAAACTGAACATTTTGTGACATTTAGAACATTCACAGTCTTGTACAGCCACCACTCCTAATTCCAAAATATTTCCATTGCTCCAAAGTAACATTTCCATTACTCCCTTACCCATTAAGCAATTTCTTCCCCATCCCCCAAATGTCTGGCAATCACCAATATGCATTCTGTCACTATGAATTTTTCTATTCTGGATATTTCATAAAAAGGGACTCACACAATGCATGGCCTTCTGTGACTGAGTTCTTTCCCTTAGCATCATGTTTTCAAGGTTCAGCCACATGGTAGCTTGTGTTAGTACTTTATTCATTTTTATGGCTGAATAATATTCCATTGTAAGTTTATACCACATTTTGTTTATCCAT